AAAAAAAACTATTGGACCAAACTAAGTTTAAAACTAAGATTAAGTTAAATTTCCACTCCAATTTTCTCCCATTGAAATAATCTCATAAATTTACAAAATGACTGAAAAAGATCAAAGATCTGTGGTGATGGTGATGACAAATTTCTTACTCTGCATCATGTGCTATATACCCATGGTCTAAATACAAAACCTTTCTACAGCATTTAACGCTGTGCTCTACCAACAAAATTAAGCAAACTGATTACAAATTCCTGTTCTTTACTTACTCAGATTGAAAAATCATTGTCATGTTCTCACATAATCTTACAATATCATGTAAGAAATGATGCCCAGACTCTAGAAATATTCTGTGTATATACAATGACCGTGCAGGGTGCTTCCTCTTCTAGGTGCCTTATAAACAGTCCCCAGTACTAGTACCCAGGCCACACATGATCTTGCAAGAGTTGAACCTGGCTCCATTCATTTTGTCCCCATGCTACATGTCCCCATGCTTTCCCTCCTATCCTCCTCTTCTCTTTCTTTAGGTATTTGTATCTGAAACATGAAACTAACCCACCAAATGGAATGCCAGTAGCAAAAATATGCATGTAGCAGATCAGGGAAATATCCATGTAGCAGATCAGAGAAAATTTAGGAGCAAAATTTTTGAAATATGAATTTTTAGGAAGTCAGGAGATAAGAGATAAAATAAAGATGAAACACAAAACAAACAACAAAAAAACCAAGTCTGCAAAGATACAGATCTAAAATTATAATTAATTATCTTACATATTTTAAAAGCACAGGTTTATCAGGAAAGGGATAAAGGAAAAAAGAGAGATGCCAGCATAGTCACAGGTGGTCAGGAGGAAAGCTGCTCTAAAACAATTCTATTTTTTTTTAAGATTTATTTATTTATACAAGCACTGGGTACAGTCAGAGGTGCAGGAGGGTGAGAGAAGTCACCAGAGCCAGAGCAGGGAGCAGAGCAGGCAGACTGACGAAGTATACTGCTGAGGGGAGCAGCGGGCAGCAGGAGAGGTCTGCGCGCCATGTGGGACCCTCGCTGGGAAGCCGGGGATCAAACCGGCACTGCAGAGGCTGCGGGCAGCTTCGCAACCCAGCGCTCAACCGTTGCACCACCAGGGAGGCCCAAACAATTCTATTTAACCTTGATAAAATTGTCTCTTTCCAGACTTCTACTTTGCCTCTGTCTAAATTTTTTATGTAATGCTTCCCTCTTTCTTTGTCCTTGCTGTCTGACTTTTTTCTTGTCTCTTTTTTTTCTTCTACATTACTATAATCTATAGTTATATTTAAAAAAATTATTTATGCAATGCCTGGTAAGAAATTAGATTTTTAAAAAGGTATAAGACATAGATTCTGCTTTTGTATAGGTGACAATAACAGTAAATGCACTGATGGGTAAGTGATAAAATAATGCCACTACCAACAAATTAAAATTCTATGTGAAATTGACAAAGCAGGGTAATAAAAAGCATGCATTTACAGTGTAGCTATTTTTTGGCAAGAGTGACAAAAGAGAACTTCAGAGAGGAAATAGGATTTTCACAGAGCCTTGGTAGTCCTGAGGAAGTACAGAAGAGAGGGTGTTGAAACCTTTAACTTTTTTTATTTTAATCGTAAGAGAAAAAGAAAAAAGTCCCTGCCTAGCTCCAGGCTCATTCTGATCTCACTTGTGGATCCAGTTGATCTGGCTAAGAGTTTAGAATTTATAATAAAATCAATGAAGGTATCAAAGGGCTTTGCCCCCTTTTATATTTTTTAAGCAGAAGAGTATAGAAAGAGGTGGAACTTCAGACATGAGAAAATTATTGAAATACTTCAGGAGAAAAATGATACAGGCATAACCCTAACCCTAACCCTAACCCTAAGGTGACAACAATGGAGATGAAGAGGGGAAAATTTTTCAAGATTATTAAAATGTAAAATCATGAAATACATATTTCAGAGTGTATCTTTTTGTGAAAAAGATTTCAAATTTAGGAAAGGAGGTAGGTTCCTCACTTCTGAACGATGAGTCTGGAAATGGATCATAAATACACAGCAGATAAGGAATGCTGAGTATAGAAACCAAGAACAAAACTGGTCAAGTACTGAAGTTATTAAACCTCAATGTTTTAAGAGACAAATAGGGAGAACCAAAATATAGATGATAAATAGATAAATCAGTGTAAATGTAATGTAAATGTAAATGTAACGGTGTAAATGTAACATACATTTGTATGTATGTTATATACCTGGCATAGGTACAAGACACATAAAACTAGTATGTATATATGTATGTGTATACTTATGTGCATGTGTATTTCCATGAACAGTGTAGAAATATCTCTAGTCCTACACTAGTTACTAATCTCTAATGAAAGGATATCACGAAGCCCCAAACAGAGAAAAAACCTGGCTCAAGCTAACCAATCTACTTGCATTTAACCTACTAAACAAAAGAGGAAAAGGAGAGACTCTCACCCCACATCATCTTTCCTTCAACAAAATGCACCTCAAGTTCTAGCAATGACTACAGACAGGGTTTGTATTAGGAAATATTTACTAAAATTAGTAGATAATCAATTTTACTTTACCCCAAATCTCTAAGTCATATAGTATTTAAAATATAACAACAGTATTTCTTGTTAAATTGAATTCATAACTTGTTTTGAACACCTGTGATATGCAAGCACAGTACATGTTTCTAACATGAGAAAGTGGAAATAGATGGAAAATCAAGAATTATGTCCAGGAAATTAATCTGAACAGTTATGACTCATAGCTCACTTAATACCTTATACACCTATTACTTCAATGTCACAGAACAGAACGATAGCTTGTCTGGCATTATCTCTGTTGGAGATAGACAACACTAATCTCTATCTACATTCTTAAAACTATCTTTTCCCTTAAAATTATCTAGAAATTTTAAACAAAGTTTTGGTTTCCACTTACAAGGTGATGTGACACTACAAAAGAGCTTATGTACACTTTTGTGTAACATAACCCAGCAATGTTGTTACCCTGGGAGTACTTTGGCCTTGTACATATTTGTATTTTAGAGATTAAATAGAACATCTGAATTGTGCACATATTTATGCATTGATGCATCTCTACATGTGGCTCTATTTCTTTATGCCTTTAGAGAATACAATTGCCCTAAAGCCAGTTATTTCCTATAGACACTAAACTCAATTTTGACACATTAAAGTAAAAAATATAATCCAATTCATTTGTTGCAAATGAAGAAAAATGTGTAATTTAAATCATTTATAACTCACCAAATTATATATTACAGGATAAAATGTCCTTCAGAATTTAAAAATAAACAAGATTTACATATACAATGATTATCTCTATATGCTTTTCCTGGAGAAAATATTTCAAGAAAATTATTGATGCCTTTCAATTTTTATGTGAACAATTAAAGTTACACCTGACCTTTTAAAATAAATCTATATATATCTAGCCACTTAATTACAGTATAAATTATTCAGCAAAATTGACTTAAAGGTTTCTAGATCATTTTATATTCTTATTTTGATTATGAATTTAAGGGAACTTCTTATGGTAAAAACCTTTAATAGAATGAGATGAAATTTTTATGGGGTTTGCTCTACGGCCTATGAAATATTTCAGTATGTCTTTATGTTTATTTACAAATGTTTGCAACAGTTTCTGAGTGGGAATTTTTAATGGAAAATACGCTAAAATTATTCTCTACAATTTGTTTTTGATTAAGATAACCTACTTTTATAAGGACAGTGACAATAAACATGTTACATATTAAGACTTTAAAAGGCTACACCATAAAGATTTTTTTAAATCCATCTTTTAGTTAGTAAATTATTTCATACTACTTTCAACTCTTTGTTTACTCAAAATATAATTTGACAAAATTGCCGAGTTGGTAGGTACTGCCCTGCCTTTCACAGGAAGAGAGAGCAGTGGAAAGCCAAAGAACAGTTTCAGAGTGAATTTCTAGAAGCAAGATTTTATAAAGTTTTACTTTTTTTTAAATTTATTTGATATTTCTATGAAAATCCCATTTCAAATTCCTTTCAATAAGAAAGACCAGTCTTTAGACACTGCACCATAAGGAGTAAAATTAATTATCAAATTTTTAGCTACATTTAATAATCAACTAAAATGTACTCCACCCAAACTGAAACTGTTAAAACAAATGTGTATTAAATAGACCACATGTATCTAAAGGTCTCAAGCTGAAATAGCTATCTGAGGTCCAATTAGTTACATTTTCCTATAGAATACATTTGCATGATTCTTGAGACTTTAGATATTCTATCTCTTCAAGTCTCTACTATTTACCCATCACCGTGGAAGGGCGGCGGCCCAACCTGAATCTCCACGGCAAAAAAAAATCATTAAAACAAGTACTGTAACCATTAACTTTACTGAAAATATATTCTGGAATAAGAATGTGAAAAACAGTTAATATTTTATTTACTCAACTGCATTTTTTTTACTCAACTGCATTATTTTATACTGTAAGCATGTATTTAATAAAATATTTCTGTAGTAATCAAATTTGAGGAAGCAAACTTGTCTGCTAAAGGAGGGAGATACTTGCATGGAACCAAAACCTTCTAATAACTCAGAAAAAATTCATTTTTGCTAAAAAGATACAATGTCACTAATTTTGATATTAAAAAGTTCTCAGACTTTCATAAACCTATGTTCACAGACTTTGGGGGTTCAGCAACATTGTTGCTTTTTTTTTTAATATCCTTGAATATATCTTTTTTCAAGGAACATAAAGATAGAAAATGTTTTACTTTTAAATTGCAATTTCCCCCAAACATTTATGCCTATTCAAACAGAAACAATTATTTTATCACATCACAAGCCAAGTGTCTCTGAGCTACAACAGCCTCCACCACTTTCTAGCAGATTCCAGTCACCAATGCTTCACTAAGGCTTATGTTCTTTTCAAACCAGTGTCCCTCTACAAGGAGAAAATAAGGCTATATTAAAATTATTTTGCTTACCTGTAACAAACACTCCAGTGTCCAGAAAGACAAAGCCAAAGGCCAAAAGTTTAAGCCACAAAAACATGGTTATATCTGGAAATCAGCTGTATTCCTATGAAACAGCATGCGTCCTTCTGAAAGGCAAAATAATGGTTATCTATTTAAAATATTTTCTCCATGAAACTGAATCCAAAATAAAAGAAATGAATGCACACTCTACCCTGTTGACTTATCAGACGGGGAGCAATTTCCTCCTCTGTTACCCTAAGAACAAACCACTTGCTAGTAGCATTAACAGCGAGGTAGTGATGTCAGATTCAGTTTTACTAACTTCTCCAAAAATACTGTAAAGGGTCCTCTTTGCAGGAAGTCAAGAAAGTTGTTCAAGTCTGTGCAAAGGCATCTTACTTCCTTAATTCATGTAATTAGACCAAGTTAGTAGGCTTTTGGAAAGATTTTTTTCTTAAGGAACATTTTTTTTAAGTACCCAAAACATACTGCTTCACAATATTCATTACAACTTTTTAAAAATACCAAATCCTCAATAAATAATCAATAATTTTCTCACCTAAGAGATGATAAAAACAATTTAGCATGGATATAACAAAATGGGGGATGACAAGGTGATAAAATAACTGTGTTAGTAGAGATTATCTCTTTTTGATTTACCATAACCAGAAGAATGAGTAAACAACTATCTATCCAGTTATTTTTGGCAACCATTGTCATTTACCAGTAGGGCATTCAAAACCCTGTAACATGACAGTTTTAAGTCAGACCCATTTCCTATGCAAAAGCACTCTCAGAGAACTTAAGAGGTTTGCCCCAGATCTTTCATAAATATCCTTATGGGGCTGAACGAAATCAGAGTGTCACTTTTACTACAGCACATTCTGCTTCAAAAAAATTAATGCTTCTGTGAATTGGGATATTCTTGGTGCTGTTGATGAGGAAAAGAGAGCAATGAAAATCAAAAGTTGCCTTTTATTAAAACTAAGCTTTTATCTGAGCAACACTTGCCCAAACTTTTTGATTAAAAAAGACAACAAATTAATATACAAAATGGTCTTTATGATTCTGGATGGTGAGTCCATTAATTAGAAAAATCCATACTAGCAAAAAGTCACAATGAATCCAGCAATACAATTAAAAGAACTGGCAGCATTATCACATATGTGTATGTGTTTAAAAATAACAGTACATATATCCACAAGGAATTATTTTTTAAATTGCAGATAATGCATTGGGGACTTAGAGCAAACAATACTTCCACTAACTCTACAAACTCCAATTAGGAAGTGCTACTACAGAGTTCTTGTATTTAAGTACATAAACCTTTAGGTATTTACAAACTTACTTGTTTTAGTCCGGCTGCTAGGGACTACAGAGCCAAATGTGCACATCTCTCCTTTTTGTTTGCAAATGGAAATAATCCTGCATCTTATTTTATGAAAAACAGCATTACAATAAGAAATTTGTTTGGTAATTATTTTATTATGATTATTATTATAACTAATTTACTAGCTTCCTAACTACTTACAGGACTGTGCTTAGCACTTTAATTACATAATCCAGTTTGTACACCAATGCTTGAACAATATAATGCTATTGTTCCTCATTTTATCTATGAAGTTCAAAGAGATTAGATGTTTTGTTCAAGGTCTCACAGCAGGATGTTGACATGCTACGTTTTGAACCAATTTCAAATTTTCATTTCATTTTTCTTACATAACTTTGTGTCTTTTTATTTTTTCACCTCTTTTTCAATGTTTTTTACAACTTTGTCATTTTAATCTATAAAGACAGGACTCCATAAAAATGTGTTTTTTTTTTTTTTCAAATGTTCTTTCAAATAAATTACCTGTGAACACAAGCACTGCTCCTCAGCAGGTAAACCTCATGAAAAACATGTGTCAAGGGTCACAAATTTCAGTATTCAGCTCCCCCTCACTCTGGTCTGTTTCTTAAAATACATTTGCAATGGAAAACTATAGGGAAGTTAGCTTTGAATATCTTTAAGCAAATACATGTGTTCTATCAGCTGCCATCATGGCAGCATATTTGGCAAAACTAACAGGCAAGGAAAAAACTACATTACATACAATGTTTTAAAAGGGAGTTAAGTATATAAAATGTACTCTATACAAGCTAAAAATATAGGTTTAGAAGTCTTAAAGAGACATTAAAAAGAGGTTGTATAGATCACAGCTTTGAAGAAATAGTAAGAATGTGAGAGATTAAATTCTACTTAGGCAGCTGGGTAGAGAAGTTTCAGAGAGATTAAGCAATACTGAGAATAATTAGCAACATAAAATTTAGATTAAATATTTTAATATGTTTAAAACTGAGTTTGGTGTCTGTAGGAAATAATAGACTTTGGTGTAGCAAAAAGCAAAATGTTTTGGGGGGAATATAATTAGCAGTTTGTTAATATGCTTTTTTTTATTTTTTACATCATTGTTCATTTTTAAACAATATTTTCTTCCCGCTCACCTCACGTGTAGTCCCCCATAGAATTTCCTTCACCAATGCACCCTTGCACCATCACCACACTCTCCTGTGCTCCTCCCTCCCTCCTTCTGATCCCTCTCCCTCCTCCTCTCCTGCAGGATGTCTCTGATTTATAATTGTCTGGTTTTGTTTTGTTGTGTCAGAAAGCAAAAATTTTTTATTGTACACTATAAACAGATAAGGAAATAGAACCTACCATACAGAGATACCAATCAATGCTCTCAAGAATGGAGTCATTGGCAAGGCAAAGATTTGGTATCAGCTGTTCAGAGGGAGGCAATAAAGAAGACACTAGTAGTTGCTAGAAGAGAGGACACAGTTCCCCTCCAATAGTGGATAACACTAACTGTGGCATCTAGGCAGGAGTATGGTTAGCAGCTGATATTTCTATAGGACAGCCAAGGAAATCTCCTCCACTGTATTTCAGGTGGCCTAGCACCCAGGGCCTAGGCATGCAGCAGCCTCCAAGTCTCAAAGAAGTAGTTGGAGCATTTGGGACATACGGATGGGTTCCTTCCTATCCTCTTTCATTGGTTCTGAGAGAGATTAGGCTGCTATTAAATGGTACTTTTTAAAGAATAAATGAGATTGGGAAAGACCTAAAAAGTAATATCAGAGTTTACGTGTAGTGAATAACCTGTTACTTCTTGAAGGGCAGAAACAGTACATGTCCAAAACAATCTCAAAGGTTGATCAATAAAATTTGAAGATAACCAGAGCTGATTAAATTATAATAAATGTTTTTAAACTATAATATTAAATTATAAATGATATTTTATTTATATTAATCATTTCCAGATTTTTTTAGGTCCATGATGTAAAGATTATACAAAGGTTGAAAATATTACATGAAGTTAACTGCAAAAGAAGATATTCATTCATTCCTTCATTTATTCATTCAACAAGTATAAAGCTATCTCCTAATTTTATAGAGTAGTTTTTCCTAGCACCAAGAATAAATGGTGGGGGGCCTCCCTGGTGGCACAAGGGGTTAAGACACAACCTATGAAGCTATCTGCAGCCACTGCAGCACAAGTTCAATCCCCAGCCAAGGAGAAGACCCACATGGCGCAGCACAGGGCAAGTCAGGAGACTCACCCACTGCTCCTCTCAGCAGTGTATTTCAGTCAATCTGCCTGTTCTGTTCCCCACTGTGTCTGGTGAATCCTCTTACCCTCCACACCTTTGGCCTGTACCCCAGTTCTTGTATGCATAAATAAATAAATTAAAAAAAAAGAATAAATGGTGAATAAAAACAGACATACTCCTGTCCCTGGTAGAATCTATACTTTAATGGTAGAGACATAATTAAGTAACCAATAACCATGACAATTTCAGCACACAGGATACACTTGATGTTTGGTTTAGTTGTGATGTTAGATAAGTTTACCTGAAATTAAAGCAATGAAGTTAGACCTAAAAAAAAAAAAAATTATAGACGTTCTGGGAAATCATGAGGTCTCAGGGGGAAATGACAGTCAACATCACTAAGACTTAGGTTTTAAGAGATTCATTACTGTAACCTAACACATTTGAGGAGTTATTAAACGTTGTTTAACTGCAGTTTAATATTACAATATTACAAGATGTTGTTGTTAAACAACAGTGAAATCTATCTTATACCCACCATTTCTTTCTTACATCACTGCTCAGTAACATTACATACAATTAGCCTCTCCTTCCCTAATCACTATGCAGTTTCCTAAACACCATTATTTACTGATTTCCTTGACCTGGCCGCCATGTTGTGTCCTCTTCCTCCACCTGCCTTATAAGTATTGTGATACATTAAAAGTTCAGTTCTATGCCCATTTTTTTCTTTTTTTAAAAGATTTATTTATTATGCATACAAGAACTGGGGTACAGGCCAGAGATGTGGGGTGTGTGTGTGTGAGGATTCTCCAGAGACACAATGGGGAACAGAACAGGCAGATTGACTGAAATACACTGCTTAGGGGAGCAGTGGGTGAGTCAGGAGAGGTCTGCTGTGCCATGTGGGTAGCTCCCTGGGTGGGGATTGAACTCATGCGGCAGTCACTGTGGATAGCTTCATAGGTCGCATCTTAACCCCTTGCGTCATCAGGGAGGCCCTCCCCATTTCTTTCTTTATGGGTACACATGCTGATGGCTCACAAATACGTATCTCTTGTCAGCTCAGGTCTCAGGGCTCACATTTGCTACTGTATTGTAAACAGTACATGGTATTGCTTCAGAGCCAAGTCAATGAAGTGGAGAAATCTTGGCCCCTCCCCTTAAACCTGCCCTAATTCCTGATCTTATCCATGTCTGTAACCACACTAATGTACATCCTGTAGATTTTGCCAGAATCCAAGTTTTAGTCTTTATTTTTCCTTTTCTGTCATAAGTACTTACAACTTATTAATAGGTAGCATTAATTCCATTGCTACCATCTTTATTGTGATCCATTTCCAATCATATTACTTAGGACAAGGTCACTGTAACTACTCAGTATTTTAGCTGTTCTCCAAGCTTCTTTCTATCTCCCTTCATTATTTCCTCCAAGAAGCAATCAATTTGATCTTCTGTAAATACAAATCAGGTTGTGATAGATCCTTAACCTTTCTCAATATTTCCCCCATGCATGTTGAATAAAATCAAACCTCTGCAAACATTTCTCAACTCATTTAATGCTACTTTCAATCTTGTTCATGCTATATTCAGGCTGTGCTATTCTTTTTGTTCTTTAAAATGCCAAGCTCTTTCCTGGCCTTTACCTTTCATTCTTCCCTGGATGCTCTTTCTATAACACTCCACCATCCACTTTTTACACAGTTTCCTATAGGTAACAG